GCCTGTGTTTCTCATCCCAGTCTGGGCCTCTAAATTTAACCTGGTATCAGCTCACGAGGCAGGAGGGCCTCCACTGTGACTCAGCGCCACTTGGAGGCACTTCCCTGCACACTCCTGAAGCCGGTACCACCAGCTCGGGCGCCAGCTCCCCGTGCTCCCGGCCGCACAGCTCCAGAGCCGCTCTGGCTTTGCGCTGATACGACCCAGCCCTGTTTTCCCTACTTGGTTAGGCCTGCGCACACACATGGGCACACGGACAGGCAGACAAAGTGCATAGGCACACAGGCACATATGCACAATGCGCACACACATGGGCACACGCACAGGCAGACAAAGTGCATAGGCACACAGGCACATATGCACAATGCACACACACATGGGCACACGGGCACAGTGCACAGGCGCACGGGCACAGTGCACACACACACGGGCACAATGCACACACACGACAGTCTCATGGGCAAAGCTCAGAGCAGGCTCCACAACCAAAGGCCAAGCCACGACAGTGAGCTGTGCCCTGGGGCCACCGGCGGAGGGCCCGACAAGGCTGATTGTGCAACTTCCTGCTTTGGTGGTTCAGACCCAGGGGGCAGCACGCAGAGCTGGTGGTTGCTACGATGTGCAGGACCCAGAGCAGGAACCAAATCCCAATGCCCAGAGCAAATGGGGGAGCCTTAGACCCTGTAGAGACATGTGGAGACCGTGCTGCCCTGGAAGCTGGGCCTATGGTCCGCAGCTGACCAGGCAGCCCCTCCACAAAAGAAATGAGATAGGCTGAGGATGGGCTAGAGAAAACGGATGCCCCTAGTACCTCAGGGGGCAAGGGTTTCCTGCCTGGGACCCCCAGGAGCGAGGGAGCCAGAGGCACAGCCTCTGGTCATCATGGCCAACAGTGAGGGGCTCTGGATGTGCCCACGGCACTCAGGCTGAGAACCCACGGTTAAGGCTGGGCTCCGGGGCCAGCAGCTGGGCTCCGGGGCCAGCAGCTGGGCTCCGGCTGGGCAGCCCAGACAGCTCTCGACTCCATTATCCCCTATGAGATGAGCACAGGGAATCTCGCCCTCCTGGTCTTCATGCGATTCAGTGGCTCACACCCAGAAACAGTGTTCACACCACACCGGCCTGGAGGAGGCTCCTCTGAGAATCCCCTTTCCGCACGCGGTCAGAGGGCTCAGAGGGGCTAAGCATCTCGCCCAAGCTCACGAATGGCCTTGAACCCAGAGCTGGCCTTCAGAGCCCATCCCCACTCCGGGACCTCTGCCCCGCCCCTGCGCAGGTCCCATTAGGAGGTGCAGGCGTTTGCTCTGCCCTGGCTTCTCTGCAGCTGTTGGCCGAGGGCAGGGCGCACAGCCACATTCCCGTCCTGCGTGTCCACAGGGAGACTAGCTTGCGGGTCCAGTGTGACCTGGCCAGGGCCCAGTCTAAATGCTATTCAGGCTGGCCACTGGCACATGGTGCTCCCCGATGCTGAAGCCATGCAGGAAGGCCACAACGCGGGCGAGGTCTGCACATGCCGAGTGTGTGTGTGTGCGTGTGTGTGTGTGTGCGCGTGCTTGCCCGTGGTCCTGGCTGGCTGAGCTGGGAGTGCCATGGCATCCAGACCTTGCTGGGGTACCTCTCTCAGAAGAAATAGATAAGCATAAAAAAATGAACACTCGTCATCCTTGACATAGGGACTTCTGCTGTTTGTCAGAGAGCTGAGCTGCCCTGAGTCCTAGCTTCACCCGCCTGTCTGCCACCCTCCTCCAGGCAGGACAGCCAGGGCACTTCCGGGTGCAGGAGACGGGGCTGTGGACAGAGGGCCTGGAGGAGCGGGTCCGCTGGTGCCCATCTTCCTAGGCCCTCACACCAGGGTCCCATCCTCCAACGTCCTCCCCACCCTCCCAGCCCCCGCCAGCGACACTGAGCGGCCCGCCCAAACGAAGCACCTCCTCAAAAACATCGAGACCCTAGCCAAGCCTGCTTTAAAATTACTTTTTATTTCTCTTTATGAATATGTTTTTGTTTTTTAAAAAAAGGCTCATTTTACATTTTTCAGTCTTGTGCCTCCTGGGGAGGGCACCGGTCTTTCACAGTACTCTCCACGGCCGATGCTCCTTATTGCCGGAAGGAGCGAGCATCCACGCTGGGCCGGCGAGCGGGGCCGTCAGGACTCTGCGCTCTGCTCTAGAAGAAGGGCCGGCCCAGGCTAAGCTGAGCATCCTTAGCAGGACGTGCAGCCTCTGGGGTCACCCCAAGTGCTATCTTAAGCCAGCCAGGAGGGGGAGAGGCCGACACACGCAGGTAAGGCAGGGAGCAGTGGGATGGGGCCCGGCATGCAGGCGAGGGGAGTGCTGGGCCCTGTCTCGAGTGCTTGTTCACGCTCAGGAAGTGCGGGTGTGGGGGCCCATGCCTCCTCACTGCTCTGCTCCCCAGCCCCACCTCCACAATAACCCCTAGTGACGGCCCGGCCCAGGTTGAGACCCCCACTCCTGACCCCTGCTTTGGCCTTGCCTCCTCTATGCACGAAATACCTGAGTGTGCAGAGGGCCTGTCCCAGGCCCACCCTCCCAGCCCATCCTCCGAGGCGAAGCGGACCCCTGTCCTCCACTCCAGGCTACAGACTGTCAAGGTGGCATGACCACACACAGTTCCAGGGGGAGGCCCTGGCTCCGGTGAGGGGCTCCCTAAGCACCATGCAGGCTCAGTGGCTCCAGGGTAGCTGCAGCCTCCCGGCGTGAGCTGGGCTCAGAGACCAACGGGCTGTGCAGCACCCCTTGGTAAAGACATGTGAACGGGGGGGCAGAGCGGGGACTGAGAGGCCCACGCCCGCCCACGCCGTCACCGAGACTCCTACAAGCGGCTCACCTGCGACAGAACGTGGGTGTTTTTGTATCTGACGGTTTCTGTGCTTACTGTCATTAATTCAAGTGCAGGCCAGTGATGTCGCTGGAGGTGGGGCAGCTCGCCCGGACGCACGTGCTCAGAACACTTGGGGCTGCCCAGGACTGAGTCTAGGGGCAGTGCACCCCAAGACCAGCCTCCTGAGGGCAGAGCCCCGGTGGTTCCTCACAACCTGGGGCCCCCTAACCCCTCTCAGCCCTGGACTCGGGTTTGCTTCTTTGAGGGCAAGGGTAGGGATCTGCCTCTCCGGAGTTCCCAGCTCCAGGGTTGCTCATAGCTGGGGACCCCCTCTATCACTTCTGCCTCCACCACTGTCTGCAGCTCTCCCTCGGAGCTGGGAGAGCATCCCCTGAGAACGAGCGGAAGGAACCAGCCTGAGCTCCTGTGCAGTGCACCAGGCCGTAGCGGAGTGCTGGAGCCCACCAGGTTCAAGTGTTAAAACGCAGAGCGAAGGGAGGCTCCGGCCTTCCTGACCTGGCAGACCTCACAAACAGAGACAGGCCCATCTTGGTCCGGGGGGCCAACCCCCCAGGCTTCTGGGACCAGAGTGGGTATGGAGAAAAAGCTGTGCTTGGGGGGTGCCTGGGCGGGCCCCCTGGGGTGGGACTAGGACTACAAGAACCCGGGCGGCCTACAGCTCTCTCCTTCTTGCTCCTCCAGGGCCGCCCAGGGCAGAGCAAGGCTGCGGAAGGCGAGACGAGGTGGCTGGCACACCCCCCAGGGCTCCATGCCCCCTCACAGCTACTGCAGGGATCCTGCCCTGGCATCCAGGGGACTCTTCAGGCGGAGCCGTGTGTGGTTTTGTTCTCGCGAGGAAAGCGCAAGCAGCCAAGGTTGGTTGAGGTCAAAGTTGCCACCCTCAGCCTTCTCCCAGCCAGCAAGGGGCACTCTGCCCCAGCCCCTCTCTCCCCCTCTGGCAGAGGATGACAAGTCCAGTAGGAAAGAGATCCCACATTCTTTTTCTATCTCTTTTTTTTTTCCTTTAAATTCAGCTTAAGGCAAAAGTTTGGCAAAGCAAGTCTACGTAAGGCCGCATGGCAGAGGGGGAGGGGAGCTGTGACCGGGAGGCCGCCCAGATGGCCCCCGTGGTCGCGGACCAGGCTGGGCTTCCCCAGGACCAGCTCCTCCTCCCGCCCCTGAACCTCATGAAGAGGAGTTTAAAACAGAGAGAGAGCTGGGAAAGCAGTGTTTCAGGGACTCTGCTGCACGTGAACCACTGAACTTGTGAGGAAGAGAGAAAAGGAGGCCAGAGGTGGCCCCGAAAGGTGCCCGGAGTTTGTCTGTCCCGCTGGGCCCCCCTCCCCACAAGGAAGCAGGTGCCGAGACTGGGAAGGCCACGGCCACGGCCACGGCGGGGCCTTAGCACAGTGAGATCCGCCCACGGGAGAAGGTAGAAAGGTTGTATTTTGCCAAGTGACGGAGGAGCGCGCGGGGTCCGTCAGCACTATTATTACTGGAGTCTGGTCTGCCGGCACCCTGGCGTCACCGGTGCTTGGGCGGGATCACCACCAGCGGCTGCCCGTACTTGGGCCGCCACATGAGGACCTGAGCGTCGTTGGCGTTGGGCTTGACCAGAGCGCTGGGTGGAATGGGCTCGTTAGTGCTCAGGATCTTGGGCTGGTCCTGTGCAATGGGCTCCCGCAGCCGGGCGCGCTGGCCTAGGGGCCGGTTGGGGTTCACCTCGATGCTGAGCTGCATGCGCCAGTGCAGCGTCTGCAAGATGACCATGTCGTTGGTGGAAGTGTTGGTGGCCACCAGCCACGTGGTGAAGCTCTGGTCCCGATAGATGCTGGTCAGCTTGGCCACGTTGCTCTCGCTGACCGGCACGGCCCACGTGACACTGGGGTAGAAGTTGTCGTTCATGCTGATGATGAACTTGGAGTCTCTCTTGGTGGGGCCCACGATGGTGCAGGTCTCCGTGGTGTTGCCGTACCAGGGGTAGTTCACCCCGTCCGAGTCGCTGATGGCCTCAATCTTGCCCTCCTGGAGGTCGGGGAGCTCCCAGCTGGACCTGAGGACAAGGTGGGAGACAGTGGCTCAGCAAGACCTTTCTGCACCCTGGTTCCGGGCCGGGGACTGCCCTGGGCCCCGCCCCTCGGCCTTGGGGCTTACCTGGGTGGGGGGGCGCAGATATTAAACAGACACCCAGTATCAGGTCAGTGAGCCGGGGGCTCCCCCAGGTTGGCCCCTCCGGCACCACACCCTGTCCTCTAGCCCCAGCCCAGCTTAGACAGCCCCAGAACTGGTGCTCCCCAGTCAGTCTCAAAACCATTTTAGGCTGAGACTGGATCCCATGGGATTTGGGGACATCCTAGTCATGCCGTCACTTGAGTGGATGCGTCACTCACAGGAGTAGGGGGGGCACAGTGATGCGGACTCTTGACACGTCCTGGACTGTGCCATGCCCCACCCCGTGTCCGAGGGCTGGCACGGCTGGGCTCCCACAGACCCTGGTGGGACAATCAGGTGGAGCCCGCGTGGGTCTGTGAGCTCAGGGCTTCAGGGTGGGGCTGGACGGTTGGCATCTCCCACCCCCATGGGAGTAACTTTCCCCCTCTGTCTTTTTTTTCTAAATTTGCTAGAGGATGCATGCGCTCGCCAGAGACAGACAGAGATAGAGACAGACAGAGATAGACAGAGACAGACAGAGATAAGACAGAAGGAGAGACAGGAGAAAAGTAAGAAAGCACCCCCCATGGGGGATGGCCACCCAACAATCCCTTCTCCATCTCTCCCTCCCTCCTTCAGGGATTTGGGCATGCACACACACATGCCCCGTGAAGCTTTCAAGCCTCCGAGTGCGGGACCGGAACTACGCAGTTGGCCACGTGGGGTCCAGCTGTCTTAACTGCCATGCCACGCTGGACTGTGGTACGCCCCCTCTACCAGAGGGATTGACAAGAGGCTTCCGAGCCCAGTGGTCCTGGCATCAGCAGATCCAGGCGCGAGGCCTTGCCCCGCCATTGCCCAGTGTGAACATCTGCCCTTCTCTAGGCCTGTGTCCTCAAATGAGGAAGGGGCTGAGTTCAGGAAGGGGCAGTACCTCGAGACCCCTCACCTCCATGTGGTGGGGCGTGTGGACGCCCCAGCCCTGACCCAGGGGAGAGCTAGCACTGGGAGGCTCTGGGGACCTAGAGGCCCTTCCACTCCTCTGCCATGCCCATTCTCCGTCCCTAGTGGAGGCCTCTTTTCAAACAGAGAAAACCTGACCAGCCTTCCACCCCAGTTCCAAACACTGCGCTCAGGCTGCCTTGCAGGGCCTCCTGGGCAGGCCACACCGGGCTCTGTGGCAGCGGCTGGTCCTGGGAGGGCCTGTACTCTGGGCCTCGAGGGCCCAGGGCTGGTCTAGCCGAGGAGGCCCTGGCCAGCACGTGTCTGGCCTGACATGCTTTCCCGCTGGCCTCAGCCCTCCTAGGCCGGAGTAGACTGGGCCAGATTTTCAAAGCTTAGAGTCAGGCCATGCTGCCCTCAGCGGTGTAAGACCTGGGCAAGGGCCCACCCCTCACGCACGTCCTGGGTCACAGCAAGGACTGCATCAGGAAGTGGCCGGGGCAGGGCAGCAAAGGCCTGTGATGGGAGCTGCCAGCATGCCTGTCCTCGCTGTTGCTGAACAGACACTGACGGGCGGTGGGCAAGCAGCGTGGAGTCTGTCTATACAACAGAGTGACCTTCAGTCTTGAAGGGAAGGGGGCCGGGGCCAGCTGCTGGTGTGGTGGTTGAGGCGGCTGGATCCCACATGGCTGGCTTTGCTGTTCGAATCCCAGATTCAGCAGCTTGAAAAAAGCACAGGGCGCGTGTGCGTGCGTGCCCCAAGACCTGAGAGGAGGGTGGAAGAGAAGGGACTGTGGCATGGCCATTCCCCCAGAGGGTGATTTCTCATTTTCCCTCTCTCTGGCCAGCATATGCACCCTATAGCAAATGCTTTTTAAAAATTTTTAAAATAGGGACCAGCAGTTAGTGTAATGGCTATGTCGCTGGACTCCCATGTCGTAGACTGTGGTTCAAAGTCCCAGACCCGGAGGCTTAAACTCACGCCGAGCGTGTGTGCGTGCGTGCCCAGGATCCCAAGAGGAGAGTGGAGGAGAAGGGGGGGGATTTCTTGCTTTCTGTCTCTCTGTCTTTCTGGCAAGCACATGTGCCCTATAGCAAAAAAACAACTCTCAAAAAAAAAAAGTATAAATAAATAAATAAAGGGGCCACACTTCGGTCTGTTGTTAAGGCAGCTGGGATCTCACAGGGCCAACCATGCGACTCCAGTCCCACACCAGGTGGCTTGAGACTCACTGCGGGCACAAGTGACTGCACGACCAAAGTCCCAAGGGGGAGAAGTGGAGGCGAAGGGGTTGCAGGGGGACCAGGCCCAACGCGGGTGCCCTCTCCTCTCCCTCCCTCCGTCTCTCTCTGGCAAGCCTACACAATCTCTAGCAAATTTTAAAAGGAACAAAAGGGAAGGAAATTCCAACACCTGCTACGTGGATGTGCCTTGAAGACACGTCCAGTGAGCTGAGTCACCAGGTCACCACTGAGGGGCAGGCCCTGTGCTTCCTCTTCCGTAAGGTCCCTGCTGTCGTCTCAATTATAGAGACAAAGTAGGAGGGCAGGGGACCGGCAGATGGCGTAATGGTTATGTCACGGTTCAAGTCCCGGACCCGGAGGGTTGAAACTCAGGCCAGGCACATGTGCGTGCATGTCCACAATCCCGAGAGGAGAATGGAGTAGGGATTGCAGAGCAGCCGTCCCCCCAGGGGTGATTTCTTGCTCTCTGTCTCTCTAGCTCTGTCTTGCCTGCAAGCACACACGCCCTATAGCAAAAGCTCTCTTAAAAAAAAAGAAAGAAAGAAAGTAGA